GTAGTGGTAGTGGTAGTGGTACTACTCCTACCACTACTAGTTTAGTAAAGACAACTTCAACTGCTCTTTGGATTCCGGGTTTGTCTCATGGGGATCTCCGGTTGGTGCTGGCGTGGTATGGACATGGGTAGTTCTCTAAATGAAGGTCACTTTTTAGGTCTCCAATATTGTCGGAAGGACCCTAAAAGGGACCCTAATTTAGAGAACTACCCACATGCGCCCAGAACCGCCCACCCCTTGGAAACTAACCCAGAACCTACAACACAGAAAACCCTGGGGCCGAGGTTCCCCCAAGAAGTGACTTGCCACACCTGGGTGCTCTGAACAAGAGCAGTTCTTCTCCCGCAGTTTCACGCTTGCAAAAGCCGTGACGCAAACCAAACGCCATAACTCGAAAGCAAAAGAGTGTTGCAGTCCGCCTGAGGATGCTACCACTATCTGGAAAAAGCATCACACTACGAATCGTTGAAGCTCCCTTCCTTACTCAAGCACCCAGTCTAACCCTAAACTAAGCCCACGAAAAAGCAGAACAAGAACTTCGAACCCGAAAACTGACATCCTTAAACCTAAGCACTCAAAACCAAAGCCCGAAAACGCAGAACCCGAAACCCGAAGCCCAAGAATGCTAACACCCTCAGACTAAACCCTAAACCCGAAACCCTAAACCTTAAACCCTAAACCCTAAACCCTAAACCCTTAACCCTTAACCCTAAACCCGCAAGACCCCAAAAACTCCGCCTCGCGCAGCTCCGCGAGTCGGCTGGAATTCCCGGCGATCTGCGCCTTCCTCCGAATCATTCGTGGAATGGTTTAGGGTTTAGGGTTGAGGGTTTGGGAGGATGCTTTGTTTGAGGGGGTTTGGGGTTTTATATAGCGGCCTTAATTCTTACATTCTTACCTATACAACTTTGCTTCCTTGTTATAAGTATAGTATCATGGGCCCCAGACCCCAATTCTAAGCATTTAGGCCCCTTTATTATTCACTGGGGTTCTTCTTTAAACCCTGAGCTTAGAGGACCAACAATCCGAAAGGCCACCTGCGCGTCCGCCCCTCCACCGGCGTGACCGAAACTCCTCCGTCCTGGACCTGCGCAGTTCGCGGCAGGCTCTCTGTTTGAGCTTCGGTGTGTGGGATTCGGAATTGGGGTTTAGGGTTTAGGGTTGAGGGTTTAGGAATTACTCTTGCGGCTCGCTCGCTCCAACACCAAAAAACTCAACAACGCAAAACCCCAGGCGAAGCAGAAAAAAACACCCCCAAGCCATCACCTCCCCCATAAATCCCTGCAAACCCCACTGACCTTTCTGTATACCCCTAAACCGCTACACCCTACACCCTGCATATATCCCAACCAGATTTCGGGAAGCGGACCCCAGCGCTTCCCACAAGTCCACAAACTCTTAGACCCCTCGCAATGCCCCGAAAGATCCCGAAAGCTGGCGTTCCCATGGGCACCCTCAACAGGAGGAGCCAAAGTGTGATCCTTCGAAGACTGTATCATCCAAAAACGCTCACACTTCGATCTTGGCATGATTGGTATAGCTGTGGTCATTTGCAGTCGTACCATGGTTGTGCGCACTGGTCACGATTGCTGCCAATACAGGTCGTATGGCTACGAATGTTAAAAATCCTGGAAGAATATCAGCATGAAGACAAGCACGTGAAAGATGCAGCATGCTTGTATCTCAAAAACGGGCAAGAGAAAACATTCAGACAGTTTTCAATAAGGTAGCAATAAATACCCTATCAGCGGCTGATTGTAGTGATAGCGTATACACCGCCCACTAGTGAGACCGCAAACCCTGACATAGTGAATGCCAGAAACCGTTTGCATGTGCCGCCGCCTGCACAGCATCACCAACCTGCCAAGATAGACCAACAGAGCCCAACTCGTGTCCCCAATGCTTCTCTGTGGAACATCAAGTCGAGGGCGGAAACATCATGGCAAGAAGTCACGAATCACCCTAACCTGTCGTACTTTTGCCAGAGCTCAAGAATTGCGAAAGCCTACCCGACATCAGGAGCATATGCTGTTCGGGTGTGTGGATTGCGGCTGCCTGAAATGGGCAGTGAAATAGAGCAGCAGCAGTAGCAGCAGTAG